TTTTTGCACCCTCAGATTCCAGATTTTCAAATAGTTGTATCTCGGCCAAATATTGTCCTGTCCTAACAAACCCTACATCAATGGAAAGTGTATTTATTCAGCTTTCAGATGATGTATAAATCTCAATTTCGAAAAATTGACCCTTATGACTGGTTTTGTGGTCCAGGGTCACATATATCCATAATCTTAAAACATGTCTTAAAACGCATTCAGTCTTAACAGTACAATCAACTTGTTGAATTACTGTGTATAACAAAATCTGAAATAAAATATTTACATAAAATATATCTGCAAATATTTATTTTTAAATATATAAAAAAAAAAATATAAACAAACGTTATTTAAAAAAAAATGTATAAAACAATATATTAAAAAAATGTATCTCACATGTACATTTGCTTGGAAATACAGAGATTTTCCTTGCAGGAAGGATTACAGAAGGGATATATCAGTAATGCTGATTCATATTTAACATACCTGATGAAAGAGCCTTTACAAAGAGATTTAATTCAAGGACATATCCAATAATAAAGTAAAAGAGTGCTATATATAATTGTTTAGCTGCATATTCATTCAGCATTTCAGATGCCTTGCTAGCACCTTTCTTCAGATTGTGCATCCGAGAACTAGTAAAATCCCTAAGTGAAAACCTCTGCTGACTTTACTTTCAGTATACTGTAAAAAAAAACCTTACTGCTATAATGCTTACTGTAGTAATCTTCAGGACACAGTACATACTTTTTTGAGCCGATTTACAGAAATCTATATCAGATGCCGAATGACCCCCAAAGTAAACAAATGTTTACATCTAATTTAATTTACCGAAAAGCTTCCTTTATTTACCCCTTCCCTCTGTGTTCATTACCCAGATTAATGTTTAATACTCTAAGGACTACTACAGCTTTTAATCACAGGTTTACTGAGCCTGGCAGACCTTTCCTAATCTACCAGAGTAGGTTTTCACTGCTCAAAAACATCAATACTGTCTTTTTGGCGCGGGTGTTCATGGGATTAGTTGCGTTTCAGTGAGCCGGATCCCCTGAGCCTTACACAACGGCCCCCAA